TTTTTGCGTAATTCATTAAGTTTCTTCAAAATATTATCTCGATTAGCCAAAGTGATCTTCGATTCAGGGCATGAGCTGCCTGAAAGAAATTTGGGATATATTTGGGATTGGGAAATATTTTATGAAAATTCTAAAGCAATTAAGGTGCGGATAAATAATATGGACAAATAGAATGGAGGTTACTCACAACTACAAGTAAGAAAATAAAAATAATGGTTAATTATCTTAAATAGTAACTAAAAAACTTTGATAGAATAGGTTCTGTTGATACATCTATTTTTCCTTTATTAACTATCTCTTCACCTGGAGTTTCTTGCTCATCAGGCTTTTTTTCCTGCATTATTGGTTCATCCTGGAATTCCGTGACTTCATCTGTTAGCGGCGCATAGTTTGCAGGTCCTTCTTCAGGTCGTTTGCTTGGAGTTTCTTCACAACCAGGCTTTTCAATATTCCATGGTACTATTGGCTCATTCTGAGATCCAGCGAAAGTTTCTGTAACTTCAGCAGGCAACTCGGTTTCTGCATCGTTTGCTGGTTCTTGTTCAGGCTGTTCACTTGGAGTTTCATTATCACCAAATTTTTCAGTTTCTGCTGGCATTATCAATTTATCCTGAGATTCCATGACTTTGTCTGTTGGCGGCGCAGTTTCCGCATAGTTTGCAGGCCCTCCTTCAGGCCGTTTGTTTGGAGTTTCTACATAACCAGGCTTTTCAATATTCCATGGTACTATTGGTTCATTCTGAGATCCAGCGAAAGTTTCTGTAACTTCAGCTGGCAACTCGGTTTCTGCATCGTTTGCTGGTTCTTGTTCAGGCTGTTCACTTGGAGTTTCATTATCACCAAATTTTTCAGTTTTTGCTGGCATTATCAATTTATCCTGAGATTCCGTGACTTTGTCTGTTGGCGGCGTAGTTTCCGCATAGTTTGCAGGATCTTCTTCAGGTCGTTTGCTTAGGGTTTCTTCATAACCAGGTTTTTCAATTTTCCTTCGTACTATTGGCTCATCCTGAGGTCCAGTGACTTCGTCCTTTGGCAAAATTTTTGTGACTTCTGTTGGCAACTCGATTTCTGCATAGCTTGCAGGTTCTTCTTTAGGTAATTCACTTGGAGTTTCGTCATCATCAGGTTTTTCAGCTTCCTCTAATATTATTTGTTGATCATGAGGCTTCTCTGTGACTTCGTCCATTGGAAACTCGGTTTCTGCATAGTTTATATATTCCTCTTTAGGCTCTTCGATTAAAGTTTCTTTTTCACTAGGCTCCTCAGTTCCGCTTGGAATGACTGCTTCATTCTGATGCTCTGGGAGTTTTTTCGGCGGCAATTTGTTTTTTTCATAATTAGCATGTTTTTGTCTAGACTCTTCACTTGGAGTCTCTTCATCACTAGGCTTTTCAATTTCTGTTGATATTATCGGTCCGTCCTGAGGAACGGCGACTTCATCCAGCTCGGTTTTTTCCTGGTTTATATGCTCTTCTTTAGGCTCTTCATTCGAAATTTCTTTTTCACTAGGATTTTTAGTTTCGCTGGGCATAATCGCTTCATTTTGATGCTTCAGGATTTTTTCAGTCAGCAATTCGATTTCTTTATGGTTTATAAGCTGTTCTTCGCTTGAAGTTTCTTCATCATCGCGCGCTTCAGCAGATTCATCACCAACAGCACAAAGGCCATTACCATTACATATTCTGTCGTAATCTGAACACTTGCTGCATGGTTCACCTTCTTCATAGATCATATTATCCGAGTTTCCCCTGAATTTCAGATTGATATTAAATAGGAGAATTATCTATCGATATAAGATAAAAAATACCTTGGGCCATAATGGCAAATAACATGGACCCTAAATGAATATTCATTATTACTGTTGCATTTAGCCATTCCACAGCCAAGTTTGCTTGTGATTGCCCACGCCATCTTTAAAAAATTTGATAACAAGAATAATAAGAATATGATAAAAAAATTTATAGCCTTTCTTTCTTGAATGTAATGTGCATAATATGTATAATATGTGTATAGTTTATCCTAATTTTATTGAAGAATCAAAGATTTAAGTGCCAGTAAAGTGGAACTATAGAAAATTTCTCGCAACTTTCTGAAAGGTAACCTGAGTAAAATGCAAAACACTTCCTGGAGTACCATCCATAGTAGAATGTGCTGGCATATCTTTTATTTCCTCCCACCACCATCCTTCTATCGCATCTTCGAATTGTTTTTTATCTAAAGAGAATTATTTAGTCAATAAGGCGTTTTAGCTTCAGATTAGAATCATTCATCAATTATTTTGGTTCTAATGATAATAGAGTCATTTAGTGATAACTTTTTTAAAAGGGTTCTTTTGTTATTATTGCACAAAATTTCTGCTTATTAGAAACAATATATTTTATACAACTGGAAGAGCAAAAAATTTCAATGAACGAATTATTTCGAAATAACAATTACCTAATTTCGGTTCTTCATATCCCCATCTGGCATACAAATTCTCACCGCTATAATTACGGAATTCTTGCGTTGAATCTCGAAATCGCAATATTCAGCCCACTGTTGCGCTCTTTCTTCCAGGCCGCAGTCCCACTCCTGAATGTTATTGTAATTCATTCAGTAAGCTCAGAGCAACTGAAACGCCGTTATCTGCATTTCCATCAATAAAAAAATTTTGGTATGGTGTATCTAACCAATTCATGCATGTTCGAACTTCTTGGCATAAGTCCGTTCGATTTCGCTCTTGCTTCACCGTTTGCTAACTGCGATCTAAGCCTATTGTGTTCCTTTAATACATACGATCGCATTTCTTCAGTAATTTTTGAAGCAGGACATTTCGATGCCATAAGTCCACCTTAATTTTCCTTTATTAAAAATTCCTTCTTCCATTCCAATTCCTTCTCGCTTAGTACGATAGCACGATTTTAGGAAAAAGATAATTGAGAAAAGTTGATTGCCGAAAGAAATTTTAAGAAATTTTAACGGGCTCACCGATTTGCAATAAAATAAATACCACTGCCAATAGCATATTGAAGCTCATCGACAGAATATTCTCCGAAAAAGATTTTTTGGATTTCGAAGCGATTTTCTCGTCTTATAAAGAATCTGAAACGTGAAAAATAGAAGGAAAATACACTCAGCCATACAGAAAGCGTTTACCGATGTTTTTT